AAAGGGCAAGTCTCGCCGCCGGAGCCGAGACACTGAGAAGGACAAGTCTCGCACCCGGCGCGGCCGCTCTCGCTCCCCTCGCCTCCGGAAGGGAATTACCGAAGACGAGGAGAACCTGGTGCTGCGGCACGCTGCGCTGATCCAGAAGGAGCGTGCCTACCGCAAGAAAAAAAGGGAAGAAAAGAAAGCAGCTTCGGCTGCAAAGGCTCCTGCAAAGGCTCCGGCCCAAAAAAAGAAGGATGACGACGAAACGTCCGGGTCGTACGAGTACGTCACCGAGACCGAGGACGATCTGGAGGCCGGAAAAGCCAAGCAGGCTCAGCAGGCGGCTTCCGACAAAAAAAAGGAGCGCCTCAACGCAGCCAAACCCAAAGTGGCCCCAGGGCCCGTGAAGCCAGCGTCCACAGCTGCTGGCTCGTCTTCGGACGGGAAAAAGAAGGCATCGGCTTTGGCCAGCCTCTGGGAGGCTCAGGCAGCTGGCCTGCGTCAAATGTTTGACTTTTGAATTTGCTTGCGACCCTCAGCCGAGGCGAGGGCCTTGGCTGGTTACAGCCATCGCTGGCCACAGTGCCAGCAACACAGCCAAGGCTCTGGCTTTTTGGCGACGACGAGGTTTTTGTTCCTTGCGTCAGCGACGCTTGACTTGGAACGGCGATGCAAGGTGCCCAGGGCCTGACGAAAAAAGGTGTGCAGCTTGGTGTGGAAGTGTTGACGTTATGAATCATGCCAGGTCATGCCAATAGTAAACCCATCATATTTTAACCCTAGGCCTCCAAAAGGCCTACTGAGGAAGCCTTCAGAATGGAGAAATATGCTCAACAACCATTTGGTCCCAAAAACCTCCTGAGCAGGTCTCCGGGATCCCATGCCAAAATGCCTTTTTTTCCCCCTTCGCAAGCGGCACATATCTAGTGGGAATCTGCATTCATAGAAGCATGTTGATGATGCTGCGTAAGCCTAAGTTTCATCAAGAGCCCTCAATAAATGCAGAACTTGGGTTTGGGGTCCAACTTATGTTAGGGCATTGAAAGGGAACAAGGAGAAAGTATGCCTTCAATGTTCAGTTTGAGAAACCCCATGTAATATCGTGGCAAAATTGCCTCCTCAAGCTTTCCTTTGTTGCACATCACCGCTAGGTCACTTATTCTGCCAACAAAATCTTCGCACTGAAAAGCGTGATATGTTCTTGAATTAGTTCCTGAGCTGTCCAGGATGCCATCCCCTGAAAAAAACACTGTGTCACCAATAAAAACAGAACACAACTATCCCATCTTCTAAGCTAATTCCATTTCAGATAAAGGTATTCCCCAATAAAAACATCCTATTGGATACACTTAAATAAACTTATATGTATATGTAAATATAATCAGCAAAGGCATCCTTTGATTGCTGCATAAAAAACATAGACTGTTGGAAGTAAAACACCTCGGGAGCACAAGTCGAAATCTAGTGTGCAAAAATTGCTTGTTGATACGGAGCTTGGAATCTGTCACGGGCTTCTGCAAGTTGAAGCTCTTGCCACCCCTGATGACTGACAACACCATCTTGGGAAATATATATATATATATTATATATATATATAGCTCAAGAAAACTATCTAGATTTGCGGGAAACAACAACCTCTTGCTGTAAACTCCACAGGTACATGGTGTTCGGGGCGGCCAGGCCAAAGAAGTTCACCGCTCGTCACCGCCGCATGAGCCAGCTTGCAGTAATTGACCATGGATTCATCCTAGTCACTGAACAAAGCTAGGAAAAGAAACGCTAGTTTCCACAACAACAACTTGGCCACTTTAGAGCGACAATTGGCATGCATGTTTTCCTCGATATCGTCACGCAACCAATCACTACCACCAAGGAATTATGATAACAAAATGATACCTGTTCACCTAATGCCTCCCAAACATTGAACAGGAACACACAGGATCCCCTCAAGAGAAATAAACTCTACATAAACCGATGCAATGTGCATACTAACGAACATATACCCATGGTGTGCTATCAAGAATCGCAGCATCTCTTAAAAGATGCAATATCTTCATCAGTCAAGTACCGCCCCGCAGCTTCATGGAGCTGAAACCATTGTGCCAAGAAGTACCTTGGACATTTTGGTGGGATCGAACGAAGAAATACTTCAATGTGGGTTGACACCTGAACTTACCAATGCAGGACAATCATAACCATATGCCATATACTTTTTCTCTATTCGCATCATAGGTGCATGTGACTTGTCATCCATGCTAGATTGGTGTCTTCGGGGTCAGCCTTTGCAAGCTCCACAGTGACTTGAGCTAGCCAAGCAGTGCACACCCTGGCCTGAGATGCCAGTGGTTAGATAAGCGATGGACAGTATGGGAGTATAACGACTTGAAAAAATAGCAGCCAATCAAAACAACACACAACATGACTTTAAGTTTACCAAGAAACATTGTGTGCTTTGGCACTCAACTCAGGATAGGGATGCTGGTAAGATTTCAGCCTTTTGGAAGTGAACCGGGGTTGGCTATGCCTCAGGCACAAGCATTTCAAACACCAACATGTATTATTCAGATTCATAAGGCCCTAAACCAAATAGAAGCTCAGAAAATAGCCCATTCGAATTCCAGAACAAGACTCGCAAGTTTCAGGCTGCATGTCCATGCTCTGAACTGGTCATACGCTATGGAAAGCCTATCGTTTTCACTCATGCCATCTGCAACACCACCCCAAATGTGGCTGTACTTGTTCAGGATTACCCGCATTGTACTTCCACAAGACCACAAGCATACGCCAAGATTTAGCACATGCATAGCGCACCAAGTCACAAATTCGGGCCGGAATCCATCTAAGGACGTAATAGGGCCTTAATGTCCCAAGAAACTTATCTTGAGGAGCCAAATTTTGAAACCAAAACCCCCAGGAATTGGAATAGTTATGGATTTGATATTATTTGACAACTATTTTGGGGTTCAGCCGGGGACAATACTTTCCCAATCTTAAAATATAACAATTAAACAATACACTGCCCAGTCCCCTAGACGTAAGATGGCTTATTGCTGATTCTCTTAGAAAATGGAACATTTGCTGAATATTAGGCTCACAAAAGCAAGAAACCTAGACAGATAGATATATATATAATTTATAGGGTATAAGAAATCTCATACCTGTTTACAGCCCAATCACTTTTTGGCCCAGGCTTCAAAGACTCATGGATGAAAGACTCCAGCGTATGTCTGAACGATGAGGCTAGCTGAGATGGAGCCTTCATGTAATCATTCTTGCTCGCACGGCAAGCATGGCATATGTCGTTTGAAGCATACCCAGATTTGAGATTTAGCCATTCCTGGGCAGGGCATGTTGTGGAATCCCATATCAAAACAGCATCCCAATATTATGGTTAACAAGTTTTGGAGACTGGTTGTTCCTTAAAACCTCAAATGGCAACTTGCAGGGCTATCCAAACTGAATCAATATATTAATATTTAATTGTATTTATAATATATATATATATATATTTATTTTTACCAGATTCGCCATACCCTGGAGGAAAACAACAAACGAAGGGATATGTAAAAAAACAAATGTTGCGAAGTCATGGCCATGGTACCCTGTGGAACTTCCAATCAGCCCTGATTTGTGTTATCATGGCCTGCAGAGTCCCTCGCCCAAGTGGTCCGGGTATATGCACGCCGTCCCGCAGGTACTCCATGCTTTTGGCAACCTTCAGCACAAGGAGATGCAGGGGATAGTGGGGACCAGGCTAGAGATCAAGCTGAAATTAGACACCTTAAACTTCAAATATGTTGTTTTTTTTGTATTTTCATGGCTGATATTTTGGGTTAAGATGATATATGACAACTTTTTTGGCAGGTAACTGGCTCCAAGAAGGCATAGAGGGTAGGAAATCCAGTGGAGAGCACCTCGCATCAGAAAAAGCGGTGGCTTGCACATAGATATCCAAACAAAAATGTTTTGGGAACCAACCAAAAATAAATAACAGAAAATAAAATAATATATATATATATGCCAACCAATAAACTTATCGAGGAGCCTCTCTGAGGCAGAATAGCGGCCAGCAACATTCTACACTGAACGTCCGGGGATCCAAGACATGGCCAATAACTACAACAATGAGCTTCTCATATTGCTCATTGAATTGGCAATCATCTCCCCAAATATATAGAGGATGCGCCCGTTGCTGATCGATGCACACAGGGATCATGTCGTTCCATCTTCTCATGTTGGCCCAGTACACAGGTATTTCGGACTCCACATCGGGAAAGCACTTGTTGCGGGACAACCATGGTACCAGCTCATGCGGCAATACCATTGGGAATTTCCTGCAATCAGAGATTTTGTTTTAAAAGCTGTGGTACATCAGCTACTAAATCATGTTCAACAAGCACTTAAAGCTAGAGGTGACCGAAAATTAATCCTTTTGTTTTTTAGTAAAACCCATAAACCCATTGTTGTGGGGTACCTCATGTATTAAACACTGAAATCAAACATAATTCAAAGACCCGGGGCCTGGATTCAATACCAGAGACACCGTTTTCCTTGTGTACAGGAATGTCAACCATGTGCACTGGAACCTCAGTTTAAAGGAGGGCATTTTAACCAAACAAATTATTTGTATTGTAAAACACATTTCTCATCATGATTTGGGGCCCCATGAACATACACATAAAATACGTTTTCCATTTTAACTGTAGAGCAACAGGATCGAGATGCCTGCGGGCAAAATCTCTTTGAACATCACGAGCTACATTCCCCTTGTGCTTTCCAGAAGCCAAGGCTGCACAAGGGCCCTTCATTTGATACCCCTGGTGCTCGAACTCTTTGGCAACAACTTTCATGGTTTCCTGCACCTTTTTAAATGAGGCATCCTGAGTATTGGGTCAAAGATTTTGAGGAAATAGTGTCCCAAAGCTTATCTACCAGAGGGTAACCAAAAAACACAATACAGTACACTGATTAATTTGAAACAAGATTCCCCCAACCCTGCATCCTTCAGCATGTAGCTATACAGCGGGGATGTCTTTGATGATCCGCAGGAGCTGGCCGCCAAGGATCTGGAAGTGAACTTTTGGCACCGAGATCTCACAGATAAGGAGGCACCTGCGTGGGCTGCAGAGATGGGCAACAACTTTTTTCATTGGTAAAACCACCTACCAGCAGGGTCATACCTCGATAGTAAACATATTGTTATTATATAATTATTAATATTATGGTTATGTAACCAAACAAAATGTAACAAATGTTTGACTGTTCCCTGTCCCATCCCTCAGGCACTTGTTTTTTTTCTGATCCCAAGGTCCATCTCGATATCGCCCATGGATTGGGACTGGCTACAGGTGCAATTTAATCACACCCACGTGTCCAAGGATTCCCGACTTGGCAATCCGACTCTTGTTTGACCTTCCAAAATTCTTCAGGGTCTCTACCACTGCCCTTCCCCGCATGGAGTCCCAACACTGTCGATGATATTTAGCAGCAGGTGGTTCCACCTTACGTACAATGTGTGGGCTGGTGTCAATAAACATAAGCTGAAAATTGTGCAAATTGTCAATAGCATGGGCTGGGAGTCAGGGGGAGCCAACACCTCTAGAGGCGCAGCACTTTGAATGAGACCCTCCATTCAAAATGATCTACCTGCGCTGCAGCTAATGGAATTTGCTAGAGCTATGGCGACGACACCTGGATCACATTGGTACCAAAAACACATCACTACGGGGCAGCTTTTGGGGCAGCTTTCGCTTTCCCCTTCGCTTTCGCGGGCTTGGGAGGATCCTTAGTGCAAAGGGTGTCAATAGCACTGGAAATGACAGACAAAACAAGTCAACCTCATCAGTTGTATCAACAAATGGAAATAATTGAATAATCTATATATATATATATGATATGTGTATATATATTTTTTTACACATGATATATATATATATATATACACATATTTAAATACAGGTAACACTACTTGGGGATGGATGTTTTAACAAGTAACCATTTTGAAAAATGCACGAGTCTTACAACGAATGGATGGCTATCGAGATTCGATAGCAAGCTTAACAGACCTGCACGTGGTGGTAAATGCAGGAAGGAGTTTTTCAACCGAATCTACAGCATTCTTGAGCATCGACTTCATGGCCTCATCCTGTTCAATCTCCTCATCTGACTTTTCTACCATGTAGTGGCTCTCAAGCTCTGCCTTTTTCGATGTCATTTCACCTGCACGAGCATCCAACTCAGCCAAGTATCCAGTTTTCATGGACTGCGACCTTAGCTGTACATAGCAAATGCTCATGATCGAGAAGGGATGTTGGGGATTCCTACAACCCAGGACTACATCCACTGAAATATATCAATATATACAAGAAAGAACATATGCAGATTATGGCACAATGAATGCCAAGTAACAGGGGTGAATGTTCTACCTTGTTTCGAAGAACTTTCAAATCTGTGAGCTTGTTGGAAAGCATCGAAATTTTTTGGCCACATTGTTTTTTCATCCCCACAGGTTTCTTGGGTTTCTTGTCTCTGTGCTGATCTCCAGGCTTGCCATTCCCAAGTTCACGGGTGTTGCGAGGATCAGGCGCATCACCACTGGATCCAGTATTGCCGAATAAGCCAAACTGCTTAGCTCCCTGAAGCATAGATGGCCTTAGCCCACATGGAAACTGATCGGTTTTCAAAACCTTCACCGGGAGGTACCCAACAATTTCTGTTCATATATATATATATACATGTTTTTAAATAACATATATACATGTATAACTTATATATATATATATATCAATTTGTCATATGTTATATGGGTGTTAATTTTCAAAATGTACACATTTCAAACATACACATTCAAATAATGATATCAGTTTGCACATGTTGATATTTTACCATCGGGTTGGAAGCAAGATTGAATGACGAGGCTGGAATCAAAACTTGAAGATAAGGAGCCCTAGCTCTAGGGATTGTTCCTCCGAGAAATCACCATTCATGGTCACTCCTGTCTCCCATTGGTTCTTCTCTTCATTCTCAAAAGATAGCGAATCGAAGACCCTGTACAGGGCATGATCCTGAGTGGGGGCAGGTTGATACTGCCAAATGCATTGTTGCACACAGCACCATACCTATAAATAAAACATAAACAAGTTTAAACTCAAGGTTCCTTCCCTGGGATGTCGGGGTTGTCCATTACATAGTTCGGTTCATGTGGTTTCTTTTGGGCTTGGAGCTGCTTCTTGTTTTCGATGATCGTTTCTGCTGCAGTTAACCCATATTTCTCTACGAGCCATGTTTTGTCTTTCATGACGTAGCAACCTCTCTTCTTCTCTTCCTTGGACCTTTTGGCGTTCAAATATGTGGCTGACCGCATCCAGCATTTGCCGCTCGAGATCCAGTCTTCAAAGAGCTGGGCATTCAGAAGATGATCTTGGTTGAGCTGCTAGTTTGGGATCTGAAAATGGTTTGATAAAATCCCATATACCATGTATTTTGTCTAATTATTGTACTCTTCCAAAAATTATTAATTTAGCTACTTCCAAAATTATATATATATATATCTCCACTGCCAGTGATTTGGCTAGCCCAAGATTTGAGCAGGACTGCGCTGTTTTAACAGCAGATCCTTATATATGTGCAGCCAAGATACTGTGACCTTTGTTTTGCGCCGATCTAACCACTTCATCTGGTGCGTGGCCTGGGCTGTGAATGCTACTAGCTTGAAGTATACAATGGTCAAAGTTGCTTGCAGGGGAAATAATATGTTTATTTAGTTTGTCAATTATATATAGACTTGAACTACCCCATTTGTTATCACATAATATTATTTATTTATTAATTTTTTACAGGTGGCAACCCCGTATCAAACCCAATCAGAAGTATTTCAAATATTCTGAAAACTGCGCTATCATAGTTATATCTAGTAATATTTTATGATATGCAGTCAAGATACGAAGGCTTCTGTTGAAGGCCACCTTCTCATTGTGTCGCAAACGCGCACAGCGTTGCGACCATGTCTCCATCCTCCCATTGGGGCCCTGATACAGATAAGTTCCATCTGGTTGAAGCTCAGCACCATCATCATTGAGGTGATGCTCTGCCTTCGCAACAAGTCACAGATGAATTGGGTAATACTTATATACATAAGAAACCAAAATCACCCTTCACACATAGAAACCAACATATCACATGTTTTTCCCATATTATTTTGGAGATGCTCATAAATTATTATTGCGCTCTCCCTGTTGGCAATATTCATTGGAATAACTGACTTATCATTGCTCCTGGGTCTGATGTGTGTGTGTGTGTAGGCCTGGAGCTGGGTAGTGTCCTTCCTCTCCATCACCTTGACCGCTGCTCTCACTGCCTCTCTTGGCAGGTCCGACGAGGCCGAAGACAATGCCTGCAAAAAGTAGCTGACAAGGCGTGGACAGGGTGAGGGGACAAGTTTCGAGATATTATCATCAGTCAATATTTATATATATATATATAGTATATGGATATGTATCTGTAAATATGAAAACCGAGAACAAATCGCAACAGCTAGATAGAACGATTGATAAATAGATTGATATATATATATATATAGATTGATAGGTTGACAGGTTGATAGACTGATAGATAGAAAGGTAGAAAGGTAAAAAAACATATAGAAAGATAGAGGGATAGAAAGATAGAAAGGTAGAAAGATAGAAAAATAGGTAGATATATTAATCAACACATACTTGATATATACATAGCTAAAGTGGAATCATGCATCCAGCTGTGTTGGAATCGTTTCTCTCCCCCACCTTGGAAACTGAAGCTTCGCACAAAGCAAGCAGAGCTGATTTCATGGGACCATCCTCCATGCCATTGATGTGCTTCAATGCTGTCTCTTCCGGGGTTGGCTGGGTCATTTCCACTTGCTTGGGGGCACCACCATCGGGTTCAGTTTGTTCAACTTTAAGCTCTCCATCTCCCATGGTCTCATCAGCTTTCGTTTTACTTTCTGGGGTCGTTGGCAAGGACCTTTGAGTCTGGGCATCTTGAGGTTGCGGGCTAGGCGAAGCTTCTTCCCCCAAAATCAAAGTCTTGGAGTTCAGCCAAGGGCCATTGTCCCCAGAAGGGGTGGGGCAATTCGACATCAACTGCTCGAGCTCTTCCATCAGTGGATCTTCATCCACATGAACCACATCTGGTTCATGCTGGGCGGCATCGATGATCATATCCATGCGCTTTCGGATCTCCAAGTTTACCATGCTCACCCGATGTTGAACTTCTTTGGTACTGGATTGGATCACTTCAAGTTTGCCCTCTTTCCAAGTGTTCAAAGATTCTTTTCGGGCTTCCAACCCTGCTTCATTTTCATTCAGTTTTCCAACCATTTCCCCTAGTTTTTCCGACATCTTGGCATAGGCCGTAAGAACAGATGCTGTTTTCACACCTTCATCCTTCTGAGTTTCCTTCAGTTCAACACCCAATCTGTCCCTCTCCTCTAGCAAGAGAACCAGCTGCTTGCAATGGGGGGCAATCAGGGGATCGGTCTCGATAACCCAATCAACCCCAGGACCATGCCACTCGAACATCTTACACATCCACTCCTCAATTCGCGTGTGTAAGACCTCCCTGTCATGCACGTCATGTTCACCAGCAAGCTGTCGCATGAACAAGTGACTTTCAAGCCCCATGTCAGGGATGGTGGTCGTGGTCTCGGTTCTGCGAATTGAGGCACCTGCCGGAGTGGCTGTATAGTGGGGAAGGGAAGAAGCTGCAGCAGGTGAGACCAATATAAAACAGGTTGAAGCCCACATCTAAGAAATATAAAATGGGCAGATGGTAATTCTTGTTTGTTGTCTTAGCACCGATTTTTGCACATCACCCAGGTTGCATACCACTGCATGCAATTCGGACCTGGTTCTTTCTCAGCTGGAGGAACAGGAGGACCATTGCTTTCGGGATCAGCAACAGTTGGCTCTGTCGGAACATCTTTCGGAGTGTCCTAGGATCCATGGTGGTCAAATAATGAAGTAATATATGTTCAAAACTCAAGGGGGAATACATGGTGATATATAATGATGATAGTAACGAGAAAAATGTGGGGTCATGAAACAGACTTGGAACAAGAGTGGACCACCCCATACATTGTGGAACTCCAATATATATGTGTATATATATATATATATATTAATTTATATGTGTGACCCATGTGGATTATTCCCTGTAAAGCTACCACCATGCAATAATGCAATCAAATGATCCAGATACAAAGCCGACGAAACAGGTATATAAATAAGCATGGATGCACTCAGCTCTGACCTATTTAAACGTTTGTGCTGGACACCAAATTATATTTGGGCCACCCAGAATTCCCCAAAGCCTCCGCAAGTAGAACCCCCCATGTTTACCAATGTCGGTTGGTTTCCTCATTCCCCATATCAAGATATCCAGAAGCTTCATCCATTCAAAGTTGGAAAGTTGGAAAGGAGCCCCATCCATTCTCACATTCCCCGGACCCCACATATTGTTTTAAGGGTAAGGCTATCTATATGCAATAAAGCGTCATCGGCCTGCTCAATCTCAACTTGCATTGGGTCATCTGGTCGCTGGCTCTCTTCTGCAGGTTCTTGCTCTTGGGTGTCTTGAATCTGAACCAGACGCTGAGGACTGCTGACTTTGGTCTTCTTGGTTTCGGGGCTCTTGACAGGGGTTGCATTTTTCAACGGGGTTGCTGGCTTAGATCTAACCTTAGATCCTTTCGCTTCATCCCTAGGTGCAGGGCTCATTGGAGTCACATTCTTCCTAGCTTTCTGAGGGGTTGCCACTGCAGCTGGAGTCTTCGCAGCAGCATCCGGAATACCTTAGGTTCATGATCAGGCTAGTGGACATCGTGGCACTGTCAATAGCCAAAAAGCTCAAAAACGCAATTTCCTTTGGTGGGAAACCAAGAGGAAAACTGAGATCACACGACATTGGTCTTTGCAATGGCTCTGGTTTTGGGGATGACTACATATTATGTTCTGAGATTTCTCCCAAAGTACCATGTATTGACCACATTGGTTTCATGTCAGAACCCTACACACACATGTATATCAAGACCAACCAGAAAACCACAACTGGGTGATGCTCTCATTTCTAAAATACTACATTATATATGACATTATATTTCATTATATTATATTAGATCCATTAGTTTATATTATTCTTTATATTGTATCATGTTCTTTTATATGATACTAAATATATACTTATTAAATGAGATTAGATTAAATTAATGAGATTTAAAAGTATATAGTGTTATTAAGTTATGTTTTAAATTGCATGCATATATATGATGAGACATTGTATTATATTATTTTATTGTATATCATTATATGATATGATATGGCTTTCTCAAATCCAAACATCATGTGCCCCAAGCTTAACATTTTAAAAGTTTTAAGGTTGCTTAGGGCATTCCTGGGGATCCCTATATATTATTTGTTGATATATCTATATATTCATCCTATATATATATATTATACAAAGTTTTAAAGCGCATGCAGCCATGATTTGGAGGTTTCCTCTATGTACTCCCCAATAATTGGTTTTAAAAGCATATACCGTCTATTTTGGGGTACCCACATTTTAGGAAACCCTGGCTTGGTGCCAAGACACCTGTTTTCACCAAGCGTTCCTCAAAAGCCCTCATCTCCTCATCCTCGTCGAAGTGGTCAGCAGACGAATGCGCCTTGCTCCCCGCAGGAGGCGCAGCAACTTTCATCTTCGGGGGTGCCTTTGCAGCCTCAGCAGGTCACAGGGCCAAGATTGGTGGATCCTGGGTGGAAACTTAAAGGTCTCATTCATGGTTTTCTTCCGCAAATTGTGGGGTTTTCCCTGCATGATGATCAAAAGAAAATTATATATATATATATAAATAAATATATGCCCGACTCATTCATACAAGTGACAGCTTTTTTTGCAACTGCTGGTCTTTTGGACATGTGCCACCTGCAGCAGCTTTGAGAAAGCCGACTAAACATGTTTCCAAGCTATCTGGATATATATATATATGTATATATATATATATATGGATCTATCTAATTCTTTACTTTTTTCCCCACCTGCCAGGCCTGCCAGGTGAGGGTTGTTAGATTTTATCAGAGCTGTTCTCCTCCTCCTCCGCCTCCGCATCCTCCTCCTCCATCTCCTCCGCCTCCTCCTCCTCGCAGTCCAGATCCCAACCGCGACTTCCAGATCGAATGCCAGAAGATATGTTAGATAGAATGCCAGAAGATATGCCAGATAGAATGCCAGATAGAATGCCAGAAGATATGTCAGATAGAATGCCAGAAGATTTGCCAGTAAGAAAATGTATAAATGTCATGGTGGGGATCACACGAAGTAAAGTAATTTTGTTTATCTATATCATATTAATATTGCATATATTATATATATTATACTTAGGTGTCATATATATATATGTACAGGTATATGTGTTCAAAGGGAAATCACATAACTTCGGGGACCATCAACCTGAATCCAACGTTCCTAACTACTTTGATCTACAATTAAGTATCTGGCTGGTGTTTATACGGTATAGGTACCTAGAATGGGAATGCATAAGATGGGATGAATCCTCAATATTTGTAACTTGTTATCAAAAGGCATACCAGCAGAGGTTGAAAGTCCTTATAACATATTTGTTTCAAGGGGTTCTTTTCAAGGTCCAAAAAAAAGCGTACCACCAGCTTATGGATATTTTCAACATCTGCTGGCAATTTGTTGTGAGATGTTTGGGTATATTCCTGTGAGAGGCCTGCTTTGTCTTTTTTCAACCATCATCCTTCCCTCAACATGGTCCTAGAATCAAAACCGCTAGTGATTAATACCATCAACACTTGGCTAAAGAGTACGCAGCCCATCCCCAAAACCAACAAAACCATCAAAAACTTACCACAAAGCCCAACCCGGTTTAAAATTTAGTGATTTTTGAAGGCGTCCTTTCCCATTCACTCTCCCAGCTTCCCTTCTCCCCTCGCCCACCCCCCACACCACCCCAACCAGGCAGCCCCACAGCCCCCAGGGGGGGTGCCCCCAGGCTCACAGCCCCCAGGGGGGGTGCCCCTCCAACCCAGGGCCCTCCTCCATGGGCCCATATGTGTAGGTTGCAACCAAAACAGGAGCAGCATTCAAACCCTGGTTGAATGGAATTATACCTTGGGAACTAAAACGAGTGACTTAACACATTCATCGAATTTGTTAACTAATATGTTCAGGCCCACTGAAAAGAAATTACTATAGATTGAAGGGCCCTGCAGCTACATCCATTCGGATCTCGCTCTTTCAAAACAAGTCCGTGATGGCTCAATTTGCAAGGGAATTATCGGGTCAGGAACAAACTCACCCTGCTCCACAGCGTGTTTGACCAAAGTGAGGATTGGCTCCAAATTGGCCCTGCTCCAATCCACTTCCTGGGTCGGTGATTGTTGGTGCCTTTTGGATAGAGGGTGCCATAACATTGGTTTTGGCTGCTCCTAGGTCGGAATCTGCCAGCCCACAAAACATGCTACATAAATACATATAATTACAATGTGGGGCCCCCTAGCTAGCTAAGTTGATTTATAACTCCATTGGCTATGGTTTATAATTTTAAATGCTACTTATAACTTATACCTATAGTTAATGGTGTTTTTAAACAATTTTATAACTGGAGGGCCCACATTGTAGATCCTGCAAGTCTTGAATCCAGGTCATTAATATTTGACTTGAACATCCAAAATACATTTGTAGTAGTATTGATAGCTTTGCATCCAACCCATCCCAACTCCACCCAACCCTATCCCACCATATACAGCCTTAGACCGTACTTTGTGACTCCGGCCAAGGCTCGTGGAAGCCAGCAGAAATCAATGCTGTGAGATCTGGAAGGGGCGCATCACTCTCCTTCGAGGCGGTATGGTTCAGGGAGGGGATGCAATGTGGCCAATTCAATAGGTTGCAAAGGTTAAAAAAACGTTGGGGTTACTTGCGCACTACAGCTACGGTGCTGTGGATGAGTGCATGGTGGTGATTATGGGCAGGATAACATGCTACGATGTACAGTGGCTTCCCGAGTTTGACGGGAACAATGCGCACTAAGTGTTTCTCTTCGAAGGTAAGCGCTTTGCAATCATGCTCTACACCGTGAAAGATTAATTCTTGCAAAAAACGGCCGACTTGAGGCAAGGCGCCATCCAAGACACATGAAGATCAGCAATCCTCGAGCCGAAGAGCCGAGGGTACGATGCAGAACTGCGCATATCCACCTTGTTGCCACTCCTCGGCGCAGAGCAGAGATGGATGGATGGATGGATGGATGGATGAATGGATGGATGGATGGATGGATGGATGGATAGTGATATATATCTATAATAGATAGGTAGGCAAATAGATAGATCGATAGATAGATAGATAGATGGCTAGGTGGATGGATAGATAGAGAGATAGGTAAACTGACTGGTTGATTTTGATATATTGATAGATTGATAGGTTGATCATGTGACATATTGATAGATATGTTGATAGGTTGGTAGGTTGATAGATTTCTATATATAGGTGGCTAGATAGCTAGATAGCTAGAAGCTAGATGATAGCTAGACAGCTAGATAAGCAAATAGCTATAGATAAATAGATATATGTTTTGTTCAATATACAGCTAATGTGTATGTCTTATTCAGTGGGCGATCTCTCAATTTAACCCAGGGAAAAAATAAATGATTATAGACCGATATAAATAGAACAACCTGTCTCAGGATAGCCTCACAACTCCAAGGTGGAATTCCTTCTGAGGTGGCATTGTTGCTTCATAATTTTTCTGAGCCCCCTACACAGTCTTTTTGCCTTGCTTAGAGATGGCAACCTTGACCATGGACTTGTTGAGTATCTCCTTCCGACATTTGATGACCTCACGTAGTTCCCTCGTCATGGGCTCCGAGAGCAGGTGCATATAAGGCCTAGGCAAAATGCTAGCTGTATATATATATATATATATGACCGAGCGTTTGGGCTTCCAAAAACTGCATGTGTAGTATGTGATACCCTGAGCTAGGCGCAGATTGCCATACCCAAGTTCACGTTTCAATGACCAACCACCAAAAGCTCCCATCCACCTGAGCGCTTTGTAAAGCCAAAGATCTTGATACAGGAACCACTGGACAACTGCAACTGCATATGGAATGGTTTTCTTCTCGAAAATTATGCTTTTCCCCATGTACTATGAACGTTAAGTTTAAACTGGTATAATTTCGAGATGAACACCAATCAATATTACGCATAGATTTTGATTTGTGCTTTGAAACAATTATGGCCCAGACCATCCAGTCCGGGATGAGCCAAGGAGGTGCTTCAGGGACAACAGGAACTCCAGAACTGGAAGATAGCCACACTTGCTATTTCCCGGGTTTTCTATCAACCAAAGTACTTGCCTTGCCAAAGCTAGGCAAATAAGTAATCCAGTCCTGTAGGCCAGCTCATTTCCTTGAACCACGAACCCAACAGTTTCATCCCCAAAAGGGCGTTCTTCTCCCCGTTTGTGTAAGCTTGAGGACATAAAGGTATGGGAATTACATGGGAGCCCGACCCAAAGTAGACCACGGCGTCGTACCCGAAGACACATTTTGACAGAATTGAGGAAGCCATAGGTAGATTGCAAGTTCTCTATCACATTCTCCCGCAGATAATCAAAGCCTTGCCTTGCCCAGGTTAAATACATATTTTGGATCTGGCGGAAGGGAATTGATAAGAACACAGTTGCCATTCCAGAATTCAAGCTCCAGTTATTAGTTCTGTCATTGCTAATATTTGAACATGAATTGCGCTCTAAATGCTGCAATTAGGTCAGTGAATAAAGCCTGGGGGTCACCAAAATTATCCTCACATTGAAATATAATTTGATGTGATATATATATATATTTATAGTATTGGGTAATCTTTCAAAATAAGGGTGCCCTAAGTCTTTACTAATTAAACATGTGTCTGGAGTTCCCTTGAATTTCGAACCATTGGTTATAAATATGATTAGTTTGGATGAGGTGTTGGGGTCCCAAAAATTCATGGTCCATTTTGTTGAAGAATTTTCTCATAGCTTCTGGGAATTGTTGGGTTCTTGCATTATTGGCTGGCATCTTGAAAACTATATTATGTATTGCTCATGGCAAGATAAGTCAGACTCAAGGATTAGGCCATAGCTTTTGAAAAATCCCTCACCAGTCCCCAGTCCCCCACCACAAGCCCAGTTCAGCTTTGCAAACGTGATCAGGCAAAGCTTTGAAACAAGCTGCGACGAATGTCCTTGACGACCTGAGAGTCAGCGCTGGGGCTCCAAATGCAAGTGTCAAGTTGGATGTATTGGGGTGGGATTAACCAGCATTTGTATACATATATATATATATACACTATAACATGTTTAACTAGATTTTCTATATTATTATTTACATCTAGATCTAAATAGAAACACACACACACATATATATATATATATATAAAAATAGATTTGTAAATTTCCACTTAGGTTGGTTCACCAAAAAAGGCCCCGACAAGTCTCCCAAAAACAGTGTTTTCCCTGCATTTTATGAAAGACTTTGGGACTTGTGGGGGCCTTTTTTGGGGGTTAGAAAAATAGATAGTTTTAATTTTCCCCACAAAAAGCTGCTGAAAAAAGACGTTTCCTTTGCAGAGGCCCTCTTTGGGGTGTGAAGCAAACAGGAAACTTGTAATATAATAGAAACCCAATTCCAAATTTTCACTGAAGGTAGGGGTGATAGGAACTTCTTGTTATATAGTAACTTTCAGCCAAGATACGAAAGGAAGTCACAATAGTTGCAACTCCACAGAAGATTTCTGCACATACCAAATCCTGGAGCTGCAGGGCATGTTCTTGCTGGTCTGGAGGCAAAATGCAACATAACACGATTTACACCGTATATATTTGACTGGCACTGCGCACTTTTGAGCATTTGAGATTCCAAGTGAATAAAAGCACGAACTTTATAAACAACCTCAAGGGAGCCCCAGCCCCATAGCTGAGTCCTGTTCCAGGTACGCTGGGCCCGAAGATCCAATCCAATCACATAAGTGAACCCTGGGCTGTGCAATTGCAGGTGCCGCTATGATATGCCTTTTTCATATTAAGCGCATGTGTCCACAAAGGGTCTACGCATGGATGATATATGCATGTGTTTTCTTATATGTGTCTAGTGGTCGGGAATGTCGCGCAAAGTTTAAATTTCAGGGGCTGATCAAAAAATGAAGACCCAGAGACTCCCACCCCCCCACTAGTGGCAACCAAATTACAGGACTGGTGGCACACCAAGTGCCAAGAGCGCCAGGGTTTGCATCCGGGACAGCCGCAAACTGCGAATAGGAAGCTGCGGCATGGTCCGCCCTGGAATAAAATTCCCTGCTACCTTGAGCTTTCTGAAAATTCCTGAAGACCATCGAATTCTGAGAAGCCACTGCAACACGTTTTCTATATCAACTGCCTGGCAGTCAGCAGTACTTGGATCTAAGCAATGCTTATTAGGTGTACAAATGATCCCAAGCTTATTCTCCCATTAATTGAAGGTCCCCGGCCGTCCCTTATATGTAAAATTATGTATGTATAAATATGTAACTACATGTATGTATATATAAGGTTCATCATTCATTGCGGTTCCCTGACCCACACTGTCCCAGCAAGAAGGGGGCCAATGGCACCTTGGCAGGGTACACCTCCGTCATCCGGCTGAGGTTGATGCACTTTGCGACCTGCGTTGGGCAGGAGGACAGGTTGCGGAGAAAGGTGTTTTGTTCAGGGCAGGACGGAGATGGACCAGCGATAAAACATGATAAAACCTTAGTCTGACTAATATAAGGACTTAAGATGTTTTTTTTGTCTATTAAGGGTCTGAGATTTTCATAGAGGATTGGATACTCTTCGATTTTTTCTTGTGAAAAAACTGCCAACTGATAGATCCTCACCCAGTCAGACTATTTCAATTGCAAGTGTTCATGTAGGTTCTCATCCACTAATTATTTTAGAAGTGTGGCATCCCAACTTTAATGTAGAAACATCAGCCTACCAAAAATATTGTTTTCCATTCAAGGGCGCGCCACCTTTTCAACAGCTTTTGCGAGCAGCTCAATGCAGACACGCTTCCCTCTGGCATGCTAGATTGCAATGATCCACGGAACTAGCCATATGTCAGTCCACCCTGTGGTCAAAAATAGGTTCTTTTCTTTTAAATTTCCTATCCCAATGTAAGGTAAATAATATGAACAGATTAATAACATGGTCAAAATGCTACAACCACCGGGATCAAACCAACTAGGCCCCGTGTTGAGATCCTACGTATTGAAATTACAAAGGCATGTTGCAAACTGGCCCTGTGTTTCTATGAAACACCAAGTTCCCAAAAGCACCCTACTCATCAATGCCACGTGTAGCGATCAGCAGCGATTCGTGATCAGGCTTCTGACTCCTGCACGCAGAATGCTTGGCTGAAGGACCGTAGGAACACCAGCATGGTTCGGGGTCAGCTTTGTGGGTGGTCATATCTAATATATTGATATTAAACAACTGTGCATAGTCACAGCAGCAGCCAAGACCAGTTAATTTATCATATTACACTATGATTATTAATAATACATGGGGTGTCTAACATAGCATAATCCAATAATTGTAACATATGCAGGTGGCCTTTGCCACTAATAATTAAGTCCTGAAAAGGCAAAAATTTGATTTTTGTTGGTTGTCGTTTATGCAGTTTTGTTCAAATCACATGGTGCTGGCAGCACCGCCCTTTCCCCCTCTCCTGATTCAGCGGCCATCCAGCGATTTCCATGGACAGAAGCCACCTTGTACACAGGTGCGAGCATACAGGTATAATAATATTAGTGTAATATATTAATATATATATATATATGTACTATATTGTATACTTATAGCATGAGATGTCACACATGTATCTGACAATTGAACATGTTAATTAAAAATTGAACAAACTGTGAAATATTAATGTATAATATATATAAATAGGTGTTATGTATAATATATATATAATGAGATATGTCACATGACCATTCCACCACACATCCTCGTACAATGTACAGCCAAGTAACGAGCTTTGAATATCATCTCCCCAGGGCACTGTGCAGCCACTTTTGCGATCCACCTGACTTTAAGCTGAGCAGGGGCAAGTGATGATTTTTCTCTATTCCATTGAAAATATACTCCGGAAGCCTTCAAGTTTGCATTGTCCAATTTTTCATATGTTGCAGCCGAAATGACTTGCAGACCCCTTTGCACAGCCAACTTTGGCCATGGGGTACCAATGGCACGGTTGCAGTAGAAGCTCCGTGAGTATAAGACCACACCGATGCTAGCAATCTTGGAATCATCATCTTTGGGCCAGCTTGGATCCACATTGATTGTGTAAGACCTTAGGGGCCAGAAACAAACACAGTAAGAAGGGTAGCGGGTAGTCCCAAATTAGAATTGGGCACGTTTAATTGTGAACGGTGCAAAATTTGACAGTCATGTGTTGACAACATTTGATCAAACCCAATGTGTGACAAGAAACTTCCTTTTGAAATTTTTCTCTGGGGCCTCAAACCCAATCACGAAACCATTGTCGCCAGCCTTCATGGCGGAAACAAGTTCCTCCAAAGCTGCCCTTGCTCGGTCCATGCGAGCGTCTGACGCCTGATTCTGAACCTTGAGAGCCATGGGTGAAGGTTTCCAATCCCTTCTTGGCTTCTTTGCTTTGACTGGGGTAACAACCTTGGCCTTCCTCTTGGCTGGCTTTGTTTCAACTTCGGTAGTCCCCTTCCTTGGCCTCCCACGAGGCCTCTTTTCAACCTTGTCTCCCTCGGATCCCTTGGTAACCCTTCCCTTCCTTGCCGAAGACTTTTCCTTGGTGGCATTGTCCATGGCTTTTGCCTGGAGCTTCTCTTGCTTCTTGTTGAATTTCTCGGCAACTTTTCCAGTTTTTTCCTCCCATTTTTGGGGGATAAAAGGGTGTGTGTGTGTGTTTCTACGTGCTGTCAGCCACATTTCAAACAATGGTGTGTATTTTATATACATATATATATATAGATTTGTGGAACAATGTTCGCATGTCCCTTGTACTCCCGCCATGCAATCAGAACACACTGTCCTGCTCCTTCGCTCTCCGAAGGGCACCTTGGGCAACCGCAAGTGAGCCATCTTCAGGAAGATCCCCAGGCCTGGGATCTGTCTTGGGCAAAAGAAAGTCTGGGAGTTGTACAGGATCAGGGACCAAAGGCCCACGAGATTCTTTGGCGGCCTTTGCATCCTTAGCTACGTATGTTGTTCATGGACTTTGAAACACAATTGAAGTTGCACAAATTGTGGGATGCGAAAGAAACAACTCCAACATTGCCTGCCAAAAGTCAGCCGGTGGCGCAGGACTATCAAGACCCAGCTGGGAAGCCAAGGACCCGGGTGAGTCTTTGGATGACTTTGCCACCTGAGCTATGAATTTGAGTACCGTAGCACGAATAGGGAAAAGGCATGTGAAGTGAGAAACATTCTCCAGTTTTAACTTTTTATTATTATTATTATAGACAAGTGAGCCTCAACAGCTTCGTCAAGATCATCGCGAAATTCCAGCACCCTCTTCACAGAGATGTTCTCGACCCGGGGTGAATTGAGAAGTTTCTTTTCAGCACTACCGACCTGCATGGTGCAAGCCACAAATGATGGATGTTGGTAAACACACAATAACAACCCATTTTTGGGAATGACTTATAACACCTATTCAATATGGTGATTTGGGGGATTGTTTATGTGTAAATAAAAGTTATAATTACATTTTGTTGCCCGCATTATTATAATATGTATATATATATATATATATTGAACTGGTATGTGGGAACATGTGTAACCACAAACCCACCTCCTCCAGCTGCTGATCTGCATCGATCAAGTCATCACATGCTTCCTCTAGCTGTTGGGCCTCCAAATGCACACAGCTGGCACAGCCCTACAAGTCAAGCACTGGTCATTAAGGCCATATAAAATACAATTTCTCATCCCATGTGTAGGTCAATGTACGGCTCCCCCGGGCTATCGAAAATTGATCGATGATATTCTACTCGAATTCAAGACAGCCCTATTTTAATTGAATGGATAAGTAAACCATAGTAAACCCATCAAAACATATATTTTCAATGGCGCAGGTTGGCTCCAGCTGACCTCTGATCCAAGGGATGATGCACTCTTCGATTTCTTGACCAAAGAATTTCCCTTGGTTGAAACATGTTGAAACTGATCCGGAAAGGCTTGAAACTTGGGGTTTCAACAGCCCATGCATGGCCAAGACACATGTTTCAGATGAAGTTTCAAGATCATGTTCTTGAGGACCCTGATCTTTGGTTCCCTGGCAATTGTACCCGGTTGACTGATCCAGTTTGGGGGCGATTTGAAAGTTTGTATGGGAACTCTTTCGTCCTAATAATATTATAAACATATCATTTTTTGGGATCTGACATATATCGATGAACCAAGCCTTGAATGTGGCGTGGCCCGAGTGATGCTCATGAGGTGTGTGCCCATGCAGCGAAGTCTCAGTGCTTGTCCTTTGGCCCAGTCCTGAATAGGAAGGGTGTTGGATAAAAGGGCATGATTGTATTGTGCAAAAAAATGCTACCCAATAAAAATATGGGCAAGGGTCTCTGATTAATCCTCGGCCACCACGGACATTGTAAACCCCAGCATGCATGTTGAAGGTGACGCTCAATAGGATCATGGCAGCCTGGCACTACATGGAAATAAGGGATCATTGGAGGTTTCTTACATAAGTGGTCCCTAAATCACAGATGTCAATAATATATATATATCATAATATTTCATGTTTGGTGATTTGGGGTAACTCCATTTTTGAAAACTTCCACGTTGCGAGTCTGGCACCCAGAATGGATTCCCCCCTATAATAACACAACTTTGTGGGCTACCCCATGGCTGAAATTCAAATGCTTTGCGTTGCAAACTGATTCAATTCGGGTTTAAGCTGCTGGCAATGACCACCACCCCAAGAAGCCTCATGGTGAAGCAGGTGAGGGAGCGGTGTTGTATGCCCCACCACCCACAAGTAGGTCTTCAACAAGTCGAAGTTGTTAATCAAGTCCTGCTCTTGGACCACTTCCTTGTCCCGCTCTGACCAGAAGACAATCGGACGTTCCTAATGCAAATGCAGCTGCATGGTATGGGGGCACCCATGCACATCATGCAGGTATGTTGATACCAGCACAGCCATGGGATTTGGAAGGGAATCAGAATCTACCATGCGTATATATATATATATATATTACATGTTGATGTACAAGGACCTATGCCCCCTAGATAGCATATGATAGCATTCTAATTGAGTGATAAGCTGAATATACCGAGAGTTGTTGTAATATACCTCTAAAACAAATAACAAACTATAGGGCAATTCCAGGGATACCTGAAGATTTCTGGACTTGCCTTGGATCACTTTTTTTTGCCATGCAATATCACAAGGGTCATCGCCAGCCATGATGTCATCCATGTTGGTCTCGGCATGGTTTCGAAGCGCATCAAAAAGCTCTTGCGCATGTTCCTTAGATCTAAATTGTGGAGATGTTGCATTCAAATCCCTGGTGCCATCTATCCTGAAGTCATGTATTATTATCATCATTATATGATTAATATGTTATTATTATGATTATTTATATACTCACGGACGTATACTTAGAATAAAACAAAATCCAAAATTTGAAACCAAGAGAGAGAGAGAGAGAGAGAGAGAGAGAGAGAGAGAGAGAGGAAGAGAGAGAGAGAGAAGGGACGTGGCGTGGCAACACGCGCACCCCTGCCGTGTGACACCACCCCAGGCAAGGACGTGGTTACCAGCGCACGCACCCCCGAAAGGACAGAGATGAGAGAGAGAGAGAGAGAGAAGGAAGGGACGTGGCGTGGCAACACACGCACCCCTGCCGTGGGACACCACCCCAGGCAAGGACGTGGTTACCAGCGCACGCACCCCCGAAAGGACAGAGATGAGAGAGAGAGAGAGAGAAGGAAGGGACGTGGCGTGGCAACACACGCACCCCTGCCGTGGGACACCACCCCAGGCAAGGACGTGGTTACCAGCGCACGCACCCCCGAAAGGACAGAGATGAGAGAGAAAGAGAGAGAGGGAAAGAGAGAGAGAGAGAAAGAGAGGAAGAGAGAGAGAGAGAGAAGGGACGTGGCGTGGACACACGCACCCCTGCCGTGGGACACCACCCCAGGCAAGGACGTGGTTACCAGCGCACGCACCCCCGAAAGGACAGAGATGAGAGAGAGAGAGAGAGAGAAGGGACGTGGCGTGGCAACACACGCACCCCTGCCGTGGGACACCACCCCAGGCAAGGACGTGGTTGCCAGCGCACGCACCCCCGAAAGGACAGAGATGAGAGAGAGAGAGAGATAGCGAGAGAGAGAGAGAGAGAGAGAGAGAGAAGGAAGGGACGTGGCGTGGGAACACACGCACCCCTGCCGTGGGACACCACCCGAGGCAAGGACGTGGCTACCCGCGCACGCACCCCCGAAAGGACAGAGATGAGAGAGAGAGAGAGAGAGAGAAGAGAGAGAGAGAGAGAGAGGAAGAGAAAGAGAGAGAGAGAATATGAATCGCAAGAAACCTATCAAAACAACACCCATCACAAATCAAACAACATCACAAAGTGTAAGTCGGCAACTATAATATTTTAGTATATAGGTGAAGCAGCCAAGTCTCAGAAACCTTGAACCTAAGTGGGTGATAGTACACCTTCATCCCATTCTTCACCTCCATCCTCATCATGCGGGCACCTGCCTCACGGGCATCCCTCACATCTTTTGCCACATTGGCCATGGCTTTTCCCGGCCAAGGTGCAACTGCTGGGCCACAAAAGTAGCGCTGCAATGCGAGCAAAAGGGTGCAAAGGGATCACAGTTCTTCTGGTTAAAGAAAAATATTACCAGACAAAATGTGTATCTAAGTTCCAGCATACACCCCCCAAAAAAGCAATTGCTTGGGCCCCAGTGTTGGATCCAAGAAGGGATGGGAATTGGAATCTCACCAGCTTTTTTTGGATGGGCAGTGTCAAGATTGTTGCAACCCAGATAAAGCTTATACAGCTGAGTAAAGGGAATGCGTTTTTTGACACTGCCCAAGTACCCAAGTGCAGATCGAAGGCGGGGTGGCAAGGCTCTGAGGGAAGCGGAGCGAAGAAGACCCATGGGCCACGACCACACTGACCCCAAATCAAGTGTGAAGTTGTTTCCAAAATGAAAAATATGCAAGTCAAACTGGCAAACTCATATCCTTTTGATTGGTTTTCACCCAATATGGTTGCTCCAGGGCTGTGATTTAAGTATCTGTGGGAGCCTATCCTCAAGTACCCATCTATGGCCTGAGCCAACAACTTGGTGAGCAGGTTTTTGGAACCAACAACCTTCTCAGCAGGTTTTCAGGGTTAAAGACCTTGTGAGCAAGTCAATGCCCAAACACCTCCTGAGCAAGCAGTCGGAAGACTAGGGCATAGAGAAGAGTCCCCGTAAAGTCCCCGTAAAGTCCCCGTAAAGAGGAAAAGTCTCCATAGAGAGAGAAAAAAGCCTCAATAGAGAAGAGTCCCCGTAAAGTCCCTGTAAAGTCCCCGTAAGGAGGAAAAGTCTCCATAGAGAGAGAAAAAGTCTCCATAGAGAGAGAGTCCCCGTAAAGTCCCCGTAAAGAGGAAAAGTCTCCATAGAGAGAGAAACAGTCTCCATAGAGAAGAGTCCCCGTAAAGTCCCCGTAAAGTTCCTGTAAAGTCCCCGTAAAGAGGAAAAATCTCCATAGAGAGAGAAAAAGTCTCCATAGAGAAGAGTCCCCGTAAAGTCCCCGTGAAGTCCCCGTAAAGCCCCCGTAAAGAGGAAAAGTCTCCATAGAGAGAGAAAAAGTCTCCATAGAGAAGAGTTCCCGTAAAGTCCCTGTAAAGTCCCCGTAAAGAGGAAAAGCCTCCATAGAGAGAGAAAAAGTCTCCATAGAGAGAGAGTCCCCGTAAAGTCCCCGTAAAGAGGAAAAGTCTCCATAGAGAGAGAAAAAGTCTCCATAGAGAGAGAGAGTCCCCGTAAAGTCCCCGTAAAGAGGAAAAGTCTCCATAGAGAGAGAAAAAGTCTCCATAGAGAAGAGTCCCCGTAAAGTCCCCGTAAAGTCCCCGTAAAGTCCTTGTAAAGTTCCCGTAAAGTCCCCGTAAAGAGGAAAAGTCTCCATAGAGAAAAGTCTCCATAGAGGGAGGAAAAGTCTCCATAGAGAAGAGTCCCCGTAAAGTCCCCGTAAGAGAAAAGTCTCCATAGAGGAAGAAAAGTCTCCATAGAGACGTAAGTCCCCGTAAAGTCCCCGTAAAGAGGACAAGTCTCCATAGAGAGAAAAAGTCTCCATAGAGAAGAGTCCCCGTAAAGTCCCCGTAAAGTCCCCGTAAAGAGGAAAAGTCTCCATAGAGAGAGAAAAAGTCTCCATAGAGAAGAGTCCCCGTAAAGTCCCCGTAAAGTCCCCGTAAAGAGGAAAAGTCTCCATAGAGAGAGAAAAAATCTCCATAGAGAAGAGTCCCCGTAAAGTCCCCGTAAAGTCCCCATAAAAAGGAAAAGTCTCCATAGAGAGAGAAAAAGTCTCCATAGAGAAGAGTCCCCGTAAAGACAGAAAAAGTCTCCATAGAGAAGAGTCCCCGTAAAGTCCCCGTGAAGTCCCCGTAAAGACGAAAAGTCCATAGAGAGAGAAAAAGTCTCCATAGAGAAGAGTCCCCGTAAAGTCCCCGCAAAGTCCCCGTAAAGAGGAAAAGTCTCCATAGAGAGAGAAAAAGTCTCCATAGAGAAGAGTCCCCGTAAAGTCCCCGTAAAGAGGAAAAGTCTCCATAGAGAGAGAAAAAGTCTCCATAGAGAAGAGTCCCCGTAAAGAGGAAAAGTCTCCATAGAGAGAGAAAAAGTTTCCATAGAGAAGAGTCCCCGTAAAGTCCCCGTAAAGTCCCCGTAAAAAGGCTTTGCCTGGCTATTTGTTCTTTCTGCCTAGGCTATTTGTTCTTTCCCGTGTTTTGTTTTCAAAGGGATATTCAGATCTCCTTTCACATCTAGGCAGTCTAGACATTGTTTTTCATGGATGCTGTCCAGGGTATCCATAACCATCACCTGTTCCGCGTACGGGTCTTCTGCGCCAACTTTAGTTGAAAACGCAGTTGTATTGAATGCATGGTGTCTGGTGAATGTATTGATGCATCTTATCATGAATGGAAACACATCAGGAGCAGTAGGTGGTTCAAAGTGCCATGGGCCTCAGCAGGCTCAGGCTCACAACCGTTTTGATCTCAGATGCAGCGTTGTGAGTTTTTATAGCCAACACCGATCTATTGAATATGTGATGTCAAGGTAAAATGTTTTTACACAATTCACAACGCTTTCACACAATTTATTGCAAGACACTTTTACAGCGGCTCTGTCAAGTTGTCTTAACCTCTCAATCCTCAGTGTCTTTGGCTTTCGTTCCAATAGATTTATTTCATATTTCAATAATGTGCAGTGTGTTTGACATTCTTTGGAGACAAGTCTGCGGTTTGCAGGTGAGTGGGGGCTTCGATTGGCCAGTCACAGCCTCAAGAATTCAAGCACCGTTTCCAAACACTTACATGCTATCCAAAACATGTAGGGAGAAATGCGCAGGAATCCCACCTGCACACAGGACTGAAAGATTGTAGAAGGCCATCCCATGATGGCAGGGTCCCTTCTTGCTATCATCATGATGACTCAAGGTGATGGAGCGAAATTGTTCAAAGCATGTAGCACCAGGACTCACATGGGTGGAGCTCCAGGTTTTTTAAATTTGATCATGCTCATGCATGTGAGCACCAATGATGATGGCACGCTGGCGCTGCCAATGAGCGAACAAAATGTTTCCAGTTTTGTTGTGAAATCAATTGTCAAGACCTCATGGCCCACTAAACTACATTGCTTGGCCGTTCCATCAGTCTGCAGTTGTTTCAGCGAAGACCTACACCTGGAAAGCAACGAAGAAGCGAGCAGCGTGAAAAGGATAAGCGTATGTTTCTTTTGGTTCGATTTTCTCCGGGTCGGCAGGCAGTGGCTGTAAGAGTCACTGTGGAATGACATGTGACTTGTGGCTGTAAAAGTCACAAGTCTTTGAAGCCTGTCCAATATGCGGGGTTCAGCTTGTGAATTCTCCAGGCTGGCTGCAAACGGAATGAGCTATGCAGTATCGTGCAGTGGTCCTGCGCTCAAGCTGAAGGTCCAGTTTTATTTTGTTTTCTCCTGGGCGTGCACCAGCAAGAAGTTTAACATTTTTAAACAAATGTTTCGAAATATTGCAGATATTGAAAATCCAAGCGATCAGGGGGTACGTTTCGATGTACCCCCCACATCGCCTGGTTTCATCTGAAACCAGGCGATCTTCCCACCAAACCAAGGATCCAAGCGATGTGGGGGGTACATCGAAACGTACCCCTACATCGCTTGGATCCTTGGTTTTGGTGGGAAGATCGCCTGGTTTCAGATGAAACC